CGTATCCATTGGTCATTGAATGCCGTCTCAATTAGTATTTAACTCTTTATTCATTAAAATATTGAATGGTAACAAATAAAATATCATGTCATCAAGATAATAAATAAGAGATGACATCAAATTTGTCGTATTATTAAATTATATAAAGTTACTATTAAGAATTTGAAGGTGGTTGTGTATTGTAGTATAATTCAGTGAACAAAGCATACCACCAAATATCTCAAATTGATAATTGTTATTTATTATTTTTTTTTTTTTTGAAAAAAAAAACTTAAGTACTCGAAAATTTCAGTGAATAAAACACACCCAACAAAAAAGGGTGGAAAATAAATCACACCATTGATTTAAGGAAGTTATTTCTAATTTTCAAGGTAAACTGAAACTGTATTCTATGTTTTTGATAATCCGAAAGGAGGGATTCTTTTTTTCTTTGTTTTCTCATTTCAAGTCTTTGAAAATCTTACAAAACGTTCATGTTCCATTCTCTCGAATGTCCCAAGTTTGCTCTCACATTTTGAGAAATCAATTGTTGGGCATTATTAGTTTATAGAGACCACATAATTTAGTTTTGAGCACAACAAGAAGCATGATTAACCTCATGTTGCTATATAAAACGTTGTGCTCTCTAATATTTGGTGCAGCAACTAACCTTTTATATAACTCTAAATATCAAAAATAATTTTCCTCCGAAAATTATCCACAAAATAAAAAATAAATAGATATTAAACTATCCTCGCATGCTCCTAACATGTACACAATTACTCATCAGCTAAACTTCTTTTTTTTTTCCCTCTTTCTGGACGCGCTTTATTAGTCACTCAGTGCCATAATAGTTTGACCTGCATTATTGCTGATAATATATTTCAATAATTATTACATCATATTCAATTATCATTAAAATCATGATAACGGAAACCAATTATTATTGAAAATTAATATATTTTTCAAACAATGTTTATTTTTCCGTTTTGGTAAATGCAAAAGATAGGTGATAAACAACTATATATACACACACATATATATAAATCTTTCATTAAAAAAGAATGAGCCTAAAAGCAAAATTATTTTAAAGATCGTTATACAAAATGAACCAAATATGCGGTTTAAATTAATAGTTCTGAACAAATTTTTAAAATAATCAAAAGTTAGTAAAAAGGTGAAATAAAAGAGTTTATGATAATTCATTTTGATTATTTGGGTATAAAGAAACCTAATCAGCCATTATTTTCAATAACACATAACAACCGAATATTGGGATACTAGCTATTACTATAGTTGGCTTTTACAGATCAAAAAAGTGGTCAAAAGATTAGTATTGTACAGTGGACAAATTTATTTTAAGGTCGAGAGCTACAAATTTAGCATATCTGGAGATAGAGGGTTTCGATTCTGAAACTTTAGACTTGCTTCGTAACGTTTTTTTATTTCTTCTTTTTTAATGAAAAGAAAAAAATTTGCATGACCTCCAATACCCATAGATTCAAGAGTCATGAAACAAAATTGTTATTTATGTCGGAAGAAATTAGAAATGGAAGTAAGAAACATGAGTAATTGTTAAGGGCTCGCACGACTCCAACATCCATGAATTCAAATACCATAAAACAATTTTTTTTTTATTTATGTTTCGGAATAAAAAGAAAATGGGAACAAGAACGAATAAACTCGTTTTTGTTGTTTCCAAAATTTCAATACAAAATTAAGAATGTTATGAAAAAAATAAAAATAGAAATAAAAACAAACAACATAATTAATTGTAAAATACTCAAAATTATTAAAAAAGGAAATTGGAAACAAAAAAACAAGAAACAACAATGTCACAAATGTCTACGTGTAGATGTGGATGAAATGGTAGAAAAAAGGGGATTGAGATTGTTGAACTAACCCATTGTGTTAAGTGGGTCAACATCTAGGGACCATTATTTTTGTGCCCACACAATTAATAGACAATACCCAAATTTTAATTAAGAAAGAAAAAAAAAAAAGACCTGTGACTGTGTTAAGTCAACTTTGCTTTTTGAATGCTCAATTGCACGCCCACGCTGTTGCCATTTTATAACCAATCATTCCCAATACCCAATAGATAGCCCACTCTTTAATTTAGACAAAAAATGTGATGCCTACTTCTCAACTATTATAGGATTTGTACTTTTCTAACTTTCATTTTCATTTTCAATTTCAATTTCAATTTTAATTTAAGCCCTTATCCCTTCAAATCTATAAAATCGTATCCTTATGCACAAACAATGCTGAATCCTTGACTTACCTATAAAATTTTAAAATTTTTGGAATCAAACTAAGCCACAAACTAAAAGTTAAATAACGGTAGCATACTGTAATTTGGTAACGATTTTCTTGTCTTTATAACTTTAGTGGCACTTTTTTAATTCTAGTATTACTATGATGGAGACATTGTTGATACAAAATTTAGAAAAATTTTAAGCATAGTCTTAAGAATTTAAGAACATATTAAAAATCTTTTAAAGTGCAACACTAAATAGCTAAAAATTTTAAGACCAAATTTGAAATTTATCTTATGGGTTATGAAATATGTCCGAATACATCTTTCACTTGTTATATCAAATTTGATTTGATATGCAACAGATTAGTACGCAACTTAATTATTCACCCTCCACTCTCAATCATTTAGTACCACTTTGGTATCAAAACTGTGAAAATTTGGAAAATAAATTTTTTTTATGTTTTCATTATTTTCAAATTCTGAATTTGAATATTTAAATTACATAAAATAAATATATTATATTAGGTTATAAATTCATTTCGTTTTTGATAAAATTAAAAAATGTAAAATATAATATATTATAAAATATATAATATTCTAAAAATAATATTTCTAATTAACATATATATTAATAAATTAATTAATATTATTTTAAATTTAAGTAAATATTTAGTTGGTAGCTACACATCTAGCAGCACAATCAAGTGCATCCTTATAGTTAACATGAGCATAGCTCAGCGGTAATTGACATATATACCTCCCTTCAAAGTTAGAGGTTTGGTCCCCCATATCCCCAAATGATTGTACTAAAAAAATGCACCCTTATATATTCGGGATGATCGGGTCTTTTTGAATTATTTACTTCTATGGGTTCTCAAATTTCTTTCCATAATAGAAAATTGTTAAGTATGTTTAATGGGTTAAATAATTTTTTAAAATTTTAACCTGATACTATAAAAAAATAAAAAAGGGAAAAAAATACGTGGCAACCACACAATCATTTATATATTCAAGGAAGATTCTATCTAATTATCTTGTGGCATCTTTAGCTCATGATCAATTTCAAAAGTATATTACAAAGATGTGAAAAATTAAACAAATAAAATTACCTGTAAATAGTTATAAATTTTTTAGAAAAAATAGAAACAAAAAACAAAATTTTTATCAATTCAAAGCGTGATAATGATGTAGAATATCACCATTTAAATTTGAAGTAACTGGGTTGCCTCCTTACAGTGGAAGGCCCATGTTTGATAAAAGCCCATTGGATATAGATTTCTTTCTTCTTTTTTTTTTTTTTTGAGAGAGAGAGAGATTTCATTTAAGTTTTTAAATATATTATATTTTAGTTTTCAAACTTACTTTTTAAAAAATAATTATTGTACTTATCAGTTATCACCGTTACTTTTTTAAAATTGTATAATTGGTTGGAGGATTGGCCCGTGAAAATTTGGTGGGTTCTAGAAGCTGATTTGTTTGGTAGTTCCATTCAACGTATTGCCTTTTTCTTTCAAAAAAAGAAAAAGAAAAAAAAAATTGTATAGGTGATAGATAATACAATTTTAAAATAAAAAGAAAATAGTGTGTTTGAGCCGTCTCGATAGACGTTCAAATCAACGGAAGTTCGAACTAGTATATAACATCTTTATCTAAAATCACGACCGTCCCATCAATTTGTTACCTTCAAAACGGCGGGTTCATTGATTAACGAAGTTCTCCTTTTCAAAAATAAAAAATAAAAAAATCGTGGCTCAAAGGTCGTGCAGACAATAATTGTTCTCAAATTATTCATGGATTGCGATTTATCCCGAACATGAGAGAGCAAGAAACGGAGTGGTGGCAATGTCTGTGAACTCCTTCTTCCGAGCTCCCAATACCTTCATAATACCAATGTCCTATTCAGACTTCCTTAGAGATTTTGTCCAAATCTATAATACGTGGCGGTGGATTTTCGACCTCTTAATGCATAATATTAATTTTCTCTAAGAAATAAAATATAATTTTTACTCTTACAAATTTGTACTTGAAAGTCATTGGCTTTTACAGCTTTGTTGGTTTCTTTGCTGTGTCTGTGTCCCACTACCACTTTTTCATGTGCTGAATTGTCAAAAAGTTAGCAACTAAAGGTACATGCTCACTTTATTTCCCCACTTTTTCTTGGGGATTCTTTTTTCCCAAATTAATCAAATCATCTTAAAATAATTTTAAATTTGCTAACCCCAAAAAAAAAAAAAAAAAAGAAAAGAATGGAAGATTCTTCCTGTTAAGCTCACTCACTGGTCCAAACAAATTACTTCTCTTGTAAATTCATTCATAATGTAACTGATTAATTATTCTGATCAGTTGAGTTGGTTATTAGTTGATGTATTCACAGTGGGTCTATAAATACCACTGCTTTTGATCATATTGAATAAGGAAGAAGATTGAATTCTGTGATCACATGCGGAGTAAACTGAAATGGTATCAGAGCACCATAGTCTAACGACCCAATTGTCTTGAATTTTTTTCTTCTCCTCAAAATGACATCCTCATCGTCAAATCCAGATGCTGTGAATTCTTCACAAATAAACAAAATAGTAAATCCAGGGAGCAAAATCTCAACTGTCAAATTAAATGATGAGAATTTTTTGCTATGGAAACTCTAGATCTCAACAGCGCTTCAAGGGCACGATCTTGAACATCATATTACAGGGAAATCTGAAATTCCTCCTCAGATTATTTCGATTACTGGTGAGAATTCTTCCTCCACATTGACAGTAAATCCAAAGTATCATCAATGGATGAAGCAGGACAAATTGATTACCTCTTGGTTATTCAGCTCCATGTTCGAAGAAATTTTGGGAGAGATGATTCATTGCAACACTGCCAGAGAAGTTTGGCAGATTCTTGAAAACCTATACACATCAAGAAACCTTGCAAGAGTTATGCAACTCAAATCGAAGCTAGAAAACATCAAGAAAGGTAACCTACCTTTAAAAGATTACTTTCAAAAAGTAAAAGCGCTTGTTGATTCACTTGCTGCGGCTGGAAAAAAGGTTACTGTTGAAGATCATATTATGCATATCTTGACGGGTCTGAGAAGTGAATTTGAATCGACGGTTTCGGTTATCTCTGCGAGAACACAAACCCAGACACTTCAAGAAGTTTATTCTCTCCTTCTCTCACATGAAGGGCGTAATGAGAGGAATTCGATTAACACTGATGGTACCCTACCATCTGTTAATCTTACCCAGCAAACAAAGAATTCCAATTCTGCTCAAAGCATCGATGGTCAGCGTCCTTATATGCAGAATAACAGAAGCAAAAACAGTGGCAACCCTAATTTTAGAAGAAATTGGAATAGCAATAATCGTCCCCAATGTCAGATCTATGGCAAATTTGGGCATACTGCATTGAGATGCTATCTTCGGTTTGAGAAAACATTCTTGGGGCCAAATGGACAATCACATATGCAACATAAATTTTCTGGTGGATCTAATTCCAGCATAAATTCGAACATGACAGCATTTGGGAATCAACAACAGGCCTTCACCAATGGATTTCAGCCTAACTCAAATTCTCATATGGCTGCCTTTTTAGCTCAACAGGATTTTAATCGGGATACCAATTGGTACCCAGATTCAGGTGCAACAAATCATGTTACAAGTAATTTCAACAATCTGGCCACCAGCACAGAATACACGGGTGACAATCAAGTTCGGATTGGGAATGGTACAGGTTTGCAAGTACTTCACACTGGTTCATCTTTTGTAACTTCATCTAACTCTCTTCACTCTCCCAATACTAAACCTGTTTTTATCTTAGATAATCTACTCCATGTCCCCAATATCACAAAGAACCTCATAAGTGTCAGTCAATTTGCTCGTGATAACTCTGTATTCTTTGAATTTCACCCTTACCATTGCTTTGTGAAGGACCTTCAAACTGGCCACATTTTACTCCAAGGGAAGGTACATGATGGTCTATATCGATTTGAGTTGGAGAAGGCTGCTCCCACGTCCTCTGACAGAACTGCATCTGGTGTGTCTGTTGTCTCCTCCTCTAGTGTCAATACTCTTACACACAAAACATCTTTATCTCATGATTCTTTCTCTTTACCAATTAATTGTAATCTGTCTTTGTTTGATGTTTGGCATAGGCGATTAGGCCATGCTGCTCCAAATGTTGTTCATTCAATTCTTCGTTCATGTAATGTACCCATCCAAAATAAATCAAAATTCTATATGTCATGCTTGTGCTACTAGCAAATGTCATAGTCTTCCCTTTGTTGATTCAAATACTGTCTATTCTTCTCCACTTTCATTAGTAGTTGCTGATCTCTGGGGTCCTGCCTTTGTTTCATCCAGAAATGGGTTTAAATACTACATAAGTTTTGTGATGTTCATTCTCGATATACATGGATTTATTTCCTTACAACAAAATCCGAAGCTTTTAAAGCCATTACACTTTTCAAAGCACAAGCTGAAAAATCCTTGAATTGTTCTATTCGTCGCCTTCAAACTGATGGTGGGGGTGAGTTTTCTTCGTTTATTCCTTTTCTGAAATCCCATGGTATAGAACATAGAGTTTCTTGTCCATATACATCACAACAAAATGGCATCGTTGAGAGGAAACATAGGCATATTGTAGATACGGGTCTCACCATTCTTTCTCAAGCATCTATGCCTCTTACTTTTTGGGATGACGCCTTCTCCACGGCTGTGTATTTGATCAATCGCCTTCCTACCTCTGTTCTTTATGGTACCTCCCCAATTGAAACTCTCTTTGGTTTCCAACCTCACTACTTGTTTCTAAAAACGTTTGGATGCCTCTGTTTCCCATCCTTACGCTTATATAATCAACATAAAATTCAACCTCGCTCCTCTGCTTGTCTTTTCATTGGCTATAGTAATATTCACCATGGTTATAAATGTTTGTCACCTTCTGGTCGTTTATACATATCGCGTCATGTTTTATTTGACGAAACTGTTTTCCCGTATCTGCAGTTATTTCAAAAACCAACCTCTCATTCTTCTAGCCCTACAATCCAAACCACACTCCCTATTATATCACCAACTCCTTCATCACCATCACCTCAGCGTGACACTTCAGTTGTTCGTGACCCATCTGAATCTTGTGAATCTTCCCCTGATATTCATGTTGCATTGCCTGTCAATAATTATGAAAATGTACCTGCTGCAATACCTACTAATGACTTTGATGAAAATTCTAGTACCACTTTACCTACTGGTGTTGCTTCAACTTCTCAAGCAGTTTTCAAATTCAAATGTTCAGTCCACTGAACAAATGCCTCCACAGAATCATCATCACATGACCACCCGAGCAAAAAATGGGATTTTTAAGCCAAGGATTTTCTTAGCTAACTATACTGCTGTTGAACCACCAACAGTAAAGGAAGCTTTAACCAGTCCACATTGGGTAAAGGCAATGCAAGATGAGTACGATGCCCTTCTCCGAAATCAAACTTGGTCACTTGTTCCTTTACCAAATAATAAGAAGCTTGTTGGTTGTAAATGGGTGTTCAAAGTAAAGAGAAACTTGGATGGTTCCATTGCTCGGTATAAGGCTCGGCTTGTAGCCAAAGGTTTCCACCAAACTGTTGATATAGACTACACCGAGACATTCAGTCCCGTCGTCAAACAAGTTACCATTCGCATTCTCTTTACTCTTGCCTTGTCACATAACTGGAGTCTTCGGCAAGTTGATATAAACAACACGTTCCTTCATGGAATGCTCACTGAGGATGTTTATATGATGCAGCCTTCTGGCTTTGTTCAAGCTTCTTCTTCTCGATTGGTATGCAAACTACATAAAGCTCTATACGGGTTAAAGCAGGCCCCTAGAGCGTGGTATGAACGTCTCACCAGTTATTTGCATACCTTGGGATTCTGTACATCAAAAGCCGACTCTTCACTGCTTTTTCGATAATATAATCATTACTGGTAGCTCGACGTCTGCCATTGACTCTTTGATTCAACTTTTAAATTCTATCTTTGCTCTAAAAGACCTTGGGCAACTGAGTTACTTCTTAGGCATTGAAGTTTCTTATCCCAAAACTGGAGGGTTATTTTTATCCCAAGCTAAGTATGTTACAGATTTACTTCATAAAACAAAAATGCACGAGGCTAATGCCTTATCTACTCCCATGATAAGTGGTTCAGTAGTATCAGCATTTCATGGTGATCCGTTTCATGATGTTTATTTGTATCGTAGCACCGTTGGGGCCCTTCAGTATGTGACGATTACAAGACCTGAGCTTACCTACTCGGTCAATAAAGTCTCACAATTCATGCATGCTCCAACCTTGACTCATTGGCAGGCAGTTAAGAGAATCTTACGTTACTTGGCGGGCTCATTTGATCATGGATTACTTTTATCTCCGCCTTCTGATTTATCGTTACAAGGCTTCGTAGACTCTGACTGGGCTTCTGACCCAAATGATAGGCATTCCACATCTGGCTTTTGTATTCAATTCGGTGGTAATCTTATGTCTTGGACATCAAAGAAGCAAGCTGTTGTCTCACGTTCCAGTACCGTAGCCTTGCCCATGCTGCTGCAGACCTCATCTGGATACAAATCCTTTTATCTGAATTGCGGCTGTCGCTTCATCAACCACCTATTTTATGGTGTGACAATCTCAGCGCAGTGCATTTAAGTGCCAATCCTGTGTTGCATTCTAGAGCAAAACATGTAGAGATTGACATTTATTTTGTTAGAGATCTTGTTTTACAACATCAGTTACAAGTCACTCATATTCCTGCTGCTGCCCAAATAGCTGATATCTTAACAAAGCCGCTCTCTGCAGCACGATTTCTTCCTCTCAAAGTCAAACTCAATGTTCATTCTCCATCGAACATTGGTTTGCAGGGGGGGGGGGGGCTGTTAAGCTCACTCACTAGTCCAAACAAATTACTTCTGTTGTAAATTCATTCATAATGTAACTGATTAGTTATTCTGATTAGTTGAGTTGGTTATTAGTTGATGTATTCACAGTGGGTCTATAAATACCACTGCTTTTGATCATATTGAATAAGGAAGAAGATTGAATTCTGTGATCACATGCGGAGTAAACTGAAACTTCCTTGCACCAATATTATTTGAATAATATTACAACTTGCACTAATATACTTACTAATCATGTATGTACGAGTTAAATTGCATTTTTAATAATAATGAAAAAAATTCACTGTTTCATGAAATAGAACTTGAAAATGAATCACGGTAGATAGACCTTGTTTGTTGCACTCCAAAATTAAGTTAGTTCTTATCCTTTCAATCTAATTTAATAAGTAAATCATATGTTACAAAAGGAATTCTAACGAAACTCAAACCTTTCGTTAATAGATCCATTCCTAATTTATACAGTTGATTTCAAATTGTCTTCAATGATTTATCTAAACATTGGAATAGGATACCATTTCTAATTACAAAATATACATACATATATATATATATATATCAAATAATCTCACAAATATAGACAATAAAAATCTATTGTGGTGACTTTTCCCTTGCTCGAAGAAAAAATAACCGTCTTTTAATTATTTCATTGAGCCGGAGATGAACAACCTTTAACTTTTAAGAAAATTATTATACTTTTAACTCGTAAATTATGCTTTCAATCATGAATAAAGAGAATTGAATAACTTTGTAATTTTAGATTTTTACATTTTAATTAGAAATTAACAAGTGTCAGGACAATATCAAAGATTGAGATGCATTTGCATTTTTATAGCTCGTTTGATAACGTTAATTCAAGTATCATAAAAATATATTTTTTTTATGTTTTTGGAACAAATTGAAAATAAATACAAAGAAATTTATTAGAGTTATTTCCAAAATTTCTATACAATTGTTCTCAAATAAACAGAAACAAGAAGCATAATTAATTGGAAAATATTTAGATTTTTTAAGAAAATAAACGTTATTTGTGATGTTTATCCATATTTAAAAATTAAAATATTCATAAAATAAACAACATTAGGAAAAAAGAAAAGAAACGGAATAGGATTAAAAGAATGAAACGACATGCGTTTTGGTTGGTACAAAAATAAATCACATCGCAGAATTGTTTGTCTCATTTATGTCCTGTCTTTGCTTGTCGTTTGGACAAACTCCACGAGGACCCAACGGACATTTAACAACATTTTACTATTTCTCTACATTATTTTCCTTCTTTTTAAGCAAAAGTAAAAAAAAGAAACTCCATTTGTTTGTTTGCTTTCTTTTGCATCTTTCAACCCACAACAGGGAATGACAAATTTTACTTTAAATTTTCAAATTCATCCATCAACTCATATTTAATTTTAAGCTAGAATATATAATTAGTGAGACAAATCATTTTACAATAAAGTCACATATGTGCAACCAACATCCAACTCTATTTTTTCTTCCTTTTTTTAAATTGTCATATAATTAAGGTCTTTTATTATTATTTTTTTTTTCTGTCATGTATGATATAATTATGTTACGTTACCCAGTGCTGTAAAGAATACTTTTTTTTTTTTGAGAGTTCAAATTAAAGTGTAATGTGTTTCATTTCATGGAAATGTTGATATTCCATTTGTATGGAAATGTCAATAAATTATTAATGTCCATGGATATTTATGAAAAAAATATTTAACTTAACAAATAAGTCATTCACTTTTAAGAATCTGGGCTCTGGAGATGAATACCGAAAGAGCTTACCGGATGCACCATCGACCTCAGACAGCTCGACCGGGCGGGGGAAAAACTAAAAAAAAACGTAGTGGGTGAGCAAAAAGCAAATACCAATGAAGACCAGACCTGGAATTTCAAACAAGAAAACGTAGTAGCCGCCGCGTCCGGATCTGATCTATCTACTCGGCAATTCATCCGGTGACTTCACGGTCGCCAAAGAAGCCCCAAGAAGCATCAAACATTTCCGATGAGATCCATGGAGCAATTCTTAGATAGCAAGCACTCGTAATAATTATATATTTGTGATAGCTGTTATTTATTTTCCAACTATAAATACATAAA